CTCTTCAAGCAATTCCTTTCTAGATCTTCAAACAGATGATCTTCTGGAAGTTTATATGGAGATATGAAAGGGTGTTTTGGTTTTGTGAGGGTTGATGTTTTTATTCAAAGAACCATAAGAATCAAAGATGAAAAGCATGAATTTATTTTGGCTCTTGATCCTTTGGAAGTTGAGAGGAATTGTTGTTGTACTGTTTACCAAAGGTGCAATAAGAAAATCGGACTTTTTTTTATATAGTAGGTCGAATTTGGTAATATAGGGCATTAAAAATTCGCGAGGCATTAAAATTACCAAAGGCCAGATAACACAGTCGCTCGAACGAGGTCCTGGCGAAACTCGAGCGATGTACCTTCGCTCAAGCGATAGACCAGCGAAACTCCAGCGAGGTCAGTTCTGCAATTTTGGCTCTAGCAAGGTCAGGGCGAAACTCCAGCGACATCAACGCGCCGTTTGCATCTTCAAAGCATCCCACTTTACCCTAGACCTATGCTATGACCTTTACTAAATTGCAACTTTAGTCCCTGAACTATTTGACATGTACAATTTAGTCCTTGACTTTACAATTTTGACAAATAGGTCCTTTGGTCACAGATTGCCAATTACACATTTTCCTAACAGGTACAAATCAACATAAATGACAAAAATGGATAAAAATGGTAGAAAGGGGCTGCGTTATAAGAGATCCAAAATTCAGAGACTAAAATGTAAATACTTAAATGTTGTATCAGATCCCATAATAAAGATTCAAGAGTGCTAGAGGTTGGATGAGGAAATAGGTCAAACGGATGAAATATAGTTAAAATATTATCACACATCAATTTCCAATCGAAAAAGTTATGTTTCGGAGTTTCGGCCTCATTACCCATTTTTAGCATAGCAAACATTCAAATTAGAAATATTGTTTCATAAGAGTTATAACCCTTTGACTTATCTTTACAACTCACCTTGAATCACATCAATCGGATAATGAGAGAGAAAGTTATTATAAAAATATTGATGGCTGTCAGCACATGAATTAAGCTGAATGCCCAAGTCTCTTTTGAGGCCGCCTGAGACTTGCAGACCTCTCGAGGTGTGCTCCTAAGTATAAAAGATTCCTCATTCTCTTTTGGTGACTTATAGAATACAGTCTTTTTGAATTCTATATATGGGGTAGCACATCCAGAAGGGTTTAAACAGAGGTTTTAATGTTATTTGAGCTAGAGAAGAGAGAATTTACATCAAGTAGTGAAATTTCATAACTTGGGTCGAAGATTAAGGCAAAGATATTGGAGATTTCAAGCTCTTTATCATATTCCTTGCTTCGGGTTATGTTATTTCTTATTCTTTTGTGTAATTTTCATATGGCAATGCTAGGCTATACATTGATTTATAATTTTTAATTCAAGACATATCATTTCTTTAATCAATTCTCATGTTTGTGATTGAATATGCATTAATTATGTGTTCATTGAATATTAGGCCATCATTTAGACAACTAATTGCTAGAGTCACAATAAGTATAACACTATTTATCTAACACATTGACAATAGATATTAAGAATAATATTTATGGCATATGCTATTGTGTGTGATAATTCTATAATTGAATGCATGCTTTGCATATGAATTCGAACTAGAAATAAGATCTGGTCATGTTAAGCATGGATTTAGCATATATCAAAAGAGAATATTAGATATTGACTGATTATTGATTATTATGAACACATTAACAATGCTTAATCTCATAAGTCGAGAATTTGAACTAGACATCAATAGGTGGATTCTAAAATTCAATACATTCATCTCTAATTTGATTGAAAACCAATATCTTACAACTTTCATAGTTTAGTTAGAGCTAAAACAAAAATATGAACTCTTTTGTGTTACAACGCCAAAATTGGTAGAAACTAGTAAACTATAATTATATTTATTCGTCGTGGGATGATAACTCAACTACATTATTACTTATCAACAATCATATATGCTTGCGGGTTTTATATGAACGGTAGACTACGAGAAAAATCAAAAACCAATTCAATCTACCTAAATATGGAGATAACATGCTTCAATTAGGCAACTTTACAAGAGGGAAGTTTTCATTAGAAACTTTCTAGACTAGATCATTGCAGTGATGCTGTTTGCAGGATAAGTCCAACAATTCTCTTTGATTCCAGACTGATTTTCATAAAATTGCAAAAAACTTAAAATGGAGACAAAAAGAGAACCCCATATGTAGTATATATATGAAAAATCAAAGTTATTGAGACAAACGACTCTTGTTTTCCCTCCCGCAGTTCAATCCCTGTGATCCCATTTTGCATTATTAAAAATTATCCAAATTACTCTTAATACTTTCTCACATTTCTCTACTTCCCCATATGAGAACATTACATTCAATGTTTTGGCAATTAAAAAGAATAGATTTGTTGGGTTTGTGACCCAAATTAGAGTGGATTTTTTTTTGGAAATAAATTGTTTCCTTATTTTCGTGTAGGAAAATTTGTTTCCTTATATTTCACGTAATTTTTATGGAATTATATTATTTCTTTATTCCACATTATTTCATCTTTATGCTTTCATGTATATATAAATAGTGGTCTTCTCTTTCAGTTTTGTTCAAGCAAGAATTGTTGAGTTCTTATATTTCTCTCCATATTGTCGATTACTAAAATGTCATGCTTCTACGATTAACTTTTTTTGTTAATTTCTTTACTTTCAAATCTTGTTTCTCATTGCGATCTTCATTACTTCATATCACGCCATTAATCTCACTCACTGCAATCCTTCCGAGTCCAACAAGTTGTACCAAAGCTTGGTTCTTGTTGTGGATTGGTTGAGATTTTTCAGAGATGGCTGCTTTGAAGTATGATATTCTACAATTGGATCGCAATACAAGACTTTCTTTGTGGCAAGTAAAGATGAGAGCTATTTTGGCGTAGTTGAATTTGGATGATGTGTTGTTGGATTTTGAGAAAATGCCAGCTAATTGGACAATGAAGGAGAAACAACAAAGGGATCAAAAGGTTTGTCATTGATTCATCTTCATCTATCCAATAATATTCTGGAGGATGTCTTGAAGGAGAAAACAACAGCTACTTTGTGGTTGAAACTAGAGCAGTTACGTATGACCAAGAGTCTTACCAGTAAACTGACTCTAAAGTAGCTGTACTCCCATCGCATGGCGGAAGGATGATCGTTAGAAGATCATATTTCCGTGTTCAAGGAAATTATCGCAGATTTGATAACGTTAGAGGTTAAGTATGATAAAAAAAGAGGATATTGCCTTGATCCTGTTATTTTCGCTACCTAACTCTTATACATCGTTTCGAAACACCATTTTGTATAGTTGGGATACTTTGACTATAGACGACGTCTATGATACTTTGTACTCAAAGGAGAAGTTGAAGCATTTGGTTGGAGCTATATTGAGGGATGAGGAAGCTCTGGTATCTCATGGTGATTGACAGAGTGGTAGATCGAGGATGAACTTCAACAATTTATACTACTTATACTGTAGGAGAAAAGGACACGTAAAGAAGGATTGTGACAAATTGCAAGCTAATGTGATTATGTTGCAAATTATAGGGGACAATTCTATAATTCGAACGTGACTAATGTTGCCGAGAGTTTTTCAAATGGTAGAGATGTGATGTTGATCATGGTATCTGATGTAGAATCTAAACCTGACAAGAAGTGGATTCTCGATTCGGCATGTTTGCATCATATGTGTTCCAATCAGAATTTATTTCAGACATATGAGACTAGCTAGCAAGGTGGAGTTGTGATAGAAAACAACCAATCTTGCCATATTGCTGGAATCGGTTAAATCAGACTAAGGTTGCAGGATAAGATGATCAAAATAATTAATCAGGTTCAACATACTCCAGACCTGAAAAGGAATCTTATCTCACTGAGTACCCTGGATGCAAAAGGGTATAAATTCTCTGGGGAGGTAGAGTTTTGAAGGTCCGAATGGGTGTACATGTTGTATTGGAGGGACAAAAGAAGTCTTAGTTGTACATCTTGCAAGAAAGTGCAGAACTAGTTAAAAGACATTTGGATAAGTTCAGTATCATGGTGGATATACAGTTTGGTACAGTACCTCTTGTGGTGAGCTCTAAGTTGGTTAAGAACATTGCTAGGAAAAATATTGGTGGTTCCGCTGTATGACCAATTTCAACAGATACACTGTGTTCGTTTGCTAGGGTTGGACTCATGGAGCGTAGGCAACATATTGCCAACAATGTCTATGATGTTTTTGGGACGTTGAAGGCGACAGTTCTAGCAAGGGGCCTTCTGAACCAGCATGTGGTATGGTTTCTGTTACAGGGTGTGTTTTGACCCTGTTTAGTCGACAGTAATTTCTCAATGGAATTTTGGGAACCCGGGTTTTAGCTTCAGGTGTCACTTGTAAATGCATTGCAGAGAACGACAGTTTGGTTTGGAGAGTTTTGGCTACTGTGTATCCTTTTTTTTTATCGTGAATTTTATGGAAATATATTATTTTTTTATTCTACATTATTTCCATCTTTATGTTATGCCATGTACCTATAAATAGTGGTCTTCTCTTTCAGTTTTATTCAAGTAAGAGTTACTGAGTTCTTGTATTTATTGAAAATTATACTTGATTCATTAATGATGAAAAATTAAATTTGATACATGAATTAGTTTATTTAATATTCATGTATTTATTTAAATCATGTATCCAAATGATTCTTTATATCATATTATTCATAGTATGTAGGAAAAGTCATTAATTAGTCTCTTAAATTCATACAATGTATTTGGAATCCTTTGTACCTATAAGAGGCCTTGTGCTTGAGATATTTTAGAGAGCCAAGCCATAGAATACAAATATTCTTTTGAGAATTCTCTGAATTTTTTCGCTCTAGCCTTTCTTCCCATAATTTTTTTTATTTTCAATAAAGTGGTATCAGAGCCATTTCAAAGATGAATAGTTCATTTCCTTTTGTTGTTCCCAAACTAAAAATGGAAATTGTGGACATTAGAGCATATGTATGAAGGCTTTGCACGGCTCAGAAGAGGCACGGGAAGTTGTAGAGAAAGGCTATGATGAACCAGAGAATGAAGGAGCTTTAAGTCAAGCTCAAAGGAATGCCTTGCAAAGGTACTGCAAATTAGATCAACACGCTCTCTCTATTATTCATATGGGGATAGATGAAGCCATGTTCGAGAAAGTCGCTTCTTCAACAAAAGCTAAGGAAGCTTGGGAGATTTTCAAAAGAATTGAAAAAGTGAAGAAGGTTCACCTTCAAATCTTTCATGGAGAGTTCGAATCTCTGCACATGAAAGACTCTGGGGAGAATATTGAAGAAAGTCGTATTATCGAGAAAATTCTTAGATTACTTGACTCAAAACTTGAGTTTGTTGGTATTACCATTGAAGAGTCCAATGACTTGGATACCATGACCCTTGAACAACTCATGGGGTCCTTGCAAGCATATGAAGAAGGATTGAAGAAGAAATGAGAACCGAAGTCTCAAGTTCTCCAAACGGATGTATCCTTGGGAGGTCAACAGAAAGAGCAAGGAAGATCTCAAGGAAGAGGTCAAATTCATGGTCGAGGTCCTGGTAATGGTCGTGGAGGAAATTATGGTCATGGTAATGAAAGAAATGATGGAAAACAAAATTTGAATAATGAAGGATCAAGCAATCAATCGAGAGGACAGGTGCATTGGAACTATAGCTCCAAGAGAGGTTGTGGAAAAAGATATGACAAGTCCAATGTTCAATGTTACACTTGTCATAAATATGGTCACTATGCTTTCGAATGTAGGAGTGACACCACCAATAATGAAGAGAGAGTTAATTATGTTGAAGTAAAGAAAGATGAAGAATTATTGTTGTTGTTGTTGGCAACCAAAGAAGAAAATGATAAACAATCATGGTACCTTGACACCGATCCTGCCAATCACATGAGTGGCAACAAGGAGTTATTCTCAACAATAAATGAGTTGATAAAAGGCAACATTGTTTTTGGAGATGAAACCAAGGTTCCAATAAAAGACAAAGGTGATGTTCTTATTCATGCTAAAAATGGAAATCATCTTTTGACTTTTCAAGTTTATTATGTACCTACTTTGAAGTCTAATATTTTGAGTTTGGGACAATTACTTGAGATTAGCTATAACATTCACTTGAAGAATTGTTGCGTTATGTTAAGAGATGTTTCACATAAACTGATTGCAAAGGTGCCAATGGAGAAGAATAGAATGTTTTTTTCTCAACGTCAATGTTGACCATCCAAGGTGTCTAAAGGCTTGTGTTGAAGACAGTTCTTGGCTTTGGCACTTGAGATTTGGCCATTTGAATTTTGATGGCTTGAAGACCTTCACGAATGAAGAAATGGTGAATGGGTTGCCGAAAATCAATCATCCCAACTAACTTTACGAAGGATGTCTTGTTGGCAAGCAAATTAGAAGAAGCTTTCCAAAGGAATCCACCTCAAGAGCAACAAAGCCACTCCAACTTCTTCATACGGATGTGTGCGGGCCAATCAAACCACCCTCTCATAGTAAAGCAAATCATTTCTTGCTATTTATTGATGATTTTTCTCGTAAGACTTGGGTTTATTTTTTGAAGACAAAAGATGAAGTTTTTGGAGCATTCAAAAAATTCAAAGCCCTTGTTGAAAATGAGAGGGACAACTCAATCAAAGCATTAAGGACCAATCGAGGTGGAGAATTCACTTCCAATGAGTTTAACAATTTTTGTGATACCAATAGAATCCGGCATTTCCTTACAGTTCCAAGATCACCGAAACAAAATAGTATTGTGGAGTGAGAGAATAGAACCATCCTCAAAATGTTCGTACTATGCTTAAGAGCAAGAATATGGAGAAGGAATTTTGGGTCGAGGGTATTGCATGTGCCGAGTATTTGTCTAATCTTTTCCCTTTGAGGAGTGTTCAAGACATAACTCCACAAGAAGCTTAGAGTGGTAAGAAACCTAGTGTTTCTCGCTTACGTGTTTTTGGTAGTATTGTCTATATTCATGTGCCAGATGAGAAGCGATTAAAACTTGATCAGAAAAGTGAGAAATTTGTTTTCATCGATCATGATTCAAACTCCAAAGGCTACAAGTTTTATAATCCTTGCAATGGGAAGATTGTTATTGGTAAAGATGCGGAGTTTGGCGAAGGAAGCTCGTGGGATTGGAATGTTCCGAAAAATGAAGAATACATGATTTTTCTTTTTTAAGAAGGAGACTCCAACCCAAAAGCAAGTGAAGATGCCACTCCACCGTATTCTCCTGCTCCTCAACCTCCTCATGATAGTCCCTCCGAAGGATCGAGTCGTATTAGAAATCTTGTAGATATTTATGAAGAAATTGAAATTGTTGATAATCCATCTTTGTTTTGTCTCTTCGTTGACACTGAGCCATTGAAATTTGAAGAGTCAAGAGAAGAAAAGAAATTGAGGCATGCAATGGATGAGGAGATCCGAGTAATAAAAAAAGAACAATACATGAGAGCTAGCTTATCTTCCTGAAGGGCAAAAAGAAATTGGTATTAATTGGATATACAAAGGTATAAAAAAAATGCTCAAAGAGAAGTGGAGAAATACAAGGCAAGACTTGTTGCCAAAGGCTGTAGCTAGAAGCATGGCATTGACTATGATGAGGTCTTTGCCCCAGTTGCTAGTTTGGAGACCATTCGATTAATCATTCCTTGACGGCTAAAATAAGTGGAAATTTTATCGAATGGATGTCAAGTCTACTTTCTTGAATGGATACCTTGAAGAAGAAGTGTACATTCAACAACCATTGGGTTATGTTGTCAAGGAACGTGAAGATAAAGTTTTGAAGTTGCAGAAGACGCTTTATGCCTTGAAGCAAGTGCCTAGAGTATGGTATAGCTGGATTGATAAGTATTTTCAAGATCATGGATTCATCAAATGTCCACATGAGTATACTCTTTACGTTAAAAATGATGCATTTGGAAGTTTTATGATTGTGTGCTTGTACGTAGATACTTGATCTTCACTAACAACAATGAAAACATGTTTGATGATTTTAAGAAAATGATAGCTCAAGAATTTGAGATGACTGACATTGGGCTCATGTTATCCTACCTCAGAATTGAGGTAAAACAAAATGGAGATGACATTCTATTTTTCAAGAAGCTTATGCAAAGAAAGTTCTTGAAAGATTCAAAATGCAAAATTGCAATCCGGTGAGTACTCCCATTGGGTGTGGAACAAAGATGTCAAACTATGACGAGAGCATGAAAGTGGATCCATCTCTCTATAGACAGCTTGTTGGAAGCTTGAGATATTTGACTTGTACAAGACCCGATATTCTTTATGATGTTGGTCTTGCTAGTCGTTATGCACCAACTTTAACTCACTTGGAGATTGCTAAAAGGATACTTTGCTACATTAAAAGTACTCTTAATTATGGCTTAGCTTATTCTTCTTCTACAAATTTCAAGCTTTTTGATTATAATGATAGTGATTGGGCTAGTGATATTAGGGGCTGTTTGATAGCCCTTTATTTTCTAGGGAAATGGATAACGAATTCTAACTTCCACTTTTTGCCTATTTGATTGATAAATTTTTTCAAGGAATTCGTTTTACACCTTTGGCCGCCACATCAGTATTTTCCATCTTTTTCTTGAATTTGAATTCTCACCATATTGGTGAGAATTCGTTTTTGGGGTTACTGTAGCAATTTATTTTTATTTTTTTTTTTTTGGGCATGGAAACAAATTCTAAGAATTATTACAAAAAATTCTATCATTTAATTAACAATTTCCATGTAAAACAAAACCAAAAGAACATCAAAAGATAGATTATTTTCTTGATTTTTTTTATTTTTTTGGCAATGGAAATAAATTTCATCCTCAATACCAGTAAATTCTATCCCTTTAATTGACAATTTTCATGTAAAATAAAGTCAAACAAACACCAAAAAATACTTTCATTTCAACATTTTTCACGTGAAAAATTATACCAACCAAACACAATAATTTACAACTCCTAGAAAAATAATTTCTAAGCAATTCAATTTCCTAAAATTTGTTTTCTTTCCACCCAAATTTCATCTTTGCAATCAAACGGGCCCTTAATGATCGAAAAAGCACTACTGGATTTTATTTTGTTTTTCATGGACAACACCGCTTTCACTTGGTGTTCAAAGAAGCAGCCCATTGTGACTCTTTCTACTTGTGAAGTTGAATATATTTCCCAGGCATTCTGTGTTTGTCATGCCATTTGGCTATGGAAATTATTGTAGATGCTTCATATGCCCCCAAAACGAAGCTACGCCAATTTATATTGATAACAAGTCAGCCATTGCTTTGGATAAAAATCTTATGTTTCATGATCAAAGCAAGCATACAGATATGAGATTTCACTTCATTAAAAAGTGCATTGAGAACAAAGAAGTTGAGCTTGTTTATGTAAAAACCAATGATCAAGTAGCGGACATTTTTACCAAACCATTGAACAATAATGATTTTGCAAGATTGCGTATTTGGATTGGGGTTATCAAGAGGGAATCAAGTTTAAGAAAGGGTGTTGAAAATTAAACTTGATTCATGAATGATGAAAAATTAAATATGATACATGAATTAGTTTATTTAATATTCATGTATTTATTTAAATCATGTATCCAAATGGTTCTTTGTATTCTATCATTCATGGTATGTAGGAAAAGTCATTAATTAGTCTCTTAGGTTCATACAATGTATTTGGAATCCTTTGTACCTATAAAAGGCCTTGTGCTTGAGACATAGAGAGCCGAACCATAGAATACAAATATTCCTTTGAGAATTCTCTAAATTTTTTCTCTCTAGCCTTACTATCCATAATTTTTTTCATTTCCAACAGTATTTCTCTCCATTTGTTGATTAATAAAACGCTGTGCTTCTGCGATTAACTCTCCTTGTTAATTTCTTTACTTTTAAATCATGTTTCTCGTTGCAATCGTCATTACTTCATATTACATCATTAATCCCATTCACTACAATCCTTCCAGGTCCAACAAAATTTTCTTTTGAATTGAAATCTGAATTTCTGTGGGTGCATCAACAAATCTCATATCATCATTGTACATGATTTACATGATAAAGTATTTCTGTATTTCAATGCTATGCTTCACTGTCTATATTGTACCTTGTATAATGTACAATGACATGCACTACTTCCACAGATATACTAGCAATCAAGGAAAGGTGATTTAAAAATCATTGTTAGATTAGGGTCTTTGCTTTAGTTTTTGCAATTCAAGTAACTTTTGCAATGTTAGGGATACTTCAGTTTGATTCTTCTTATATCATGTGGTTCGTACAATTGCCTTCTTTTATTTTTTGACATGGTGTAATATAGTTAAGTTATGATTTTTAAGGAGAATTTTCCAAGGCTTCAGGTAGATATATTAATATAAATGGAAGCTAACTTATCACTTTCCAGTGATATGTTGCGAGTCAATCCCCAACAAGCTCCTTAATAATACATGGTAAGTTCTAGATGCTTTCTCTTTTCAGGTTTGCAGCATGCAAAATTTTAGTCAACCTAATTTGTTGTTTAAAGGAAACATAGACGAGATTTTTTGGGAAACAGCCAATGGACGAATAGTCTAGGCGCTCTTAACGAGCATAATCAAGTAGACGCGGAGAAAAGGGAACCCGTGTGCATGGCCAGTTTTGCATAGAGGCGAGTGAGGCTCGCGCCTCAAGCCCAACATTAGAGGGGCCTCAGATTTTAGTCTATTTCAATTTTATTTTATTTTTGGGTAAATTAGCTTTTCTACGATTTTTTTATTAAAACTTTGATCAATTAGGTCCATTCCATTCCATTTAAAAATAAGGCCCAATAATATTTTTTCATTCTAGGAATTTTATTTCTAATTTAGATCCATTTCGAATACAGCAAAAGGGGACAAGCAGCATAGGATTTTTCAAACTCGTGTTGCAGTGATTTCTTAATTCTACTCAACTCGTTCATCACATGGATAGTATTCAATTTATTTGTTTAAAATAAGAGACATTTTACTAAAGTTGACAAAAATTAAGAAAGATCCTTAAATAAAGATTATAGTCAAGTCCTTATCGATATATGAACTTCAAAATTTTAAATTATTGCTTAGTATGGTAATCTGGTTTAGGTTGTTACATGCAATAAATATTATGATTAAATTTCATCAAATCGAAAATATGAATATTGATGGTGCTATTGACCTCTTACAAGAAATTTTTCCATTTCTCAAAAATTACAGAGAAATTAAATTTGCCATTGTC